AAGACCCCTCAGGGGGTGTTCTGTTAAGATGCAGCCTGTTGTGCCTTAAAATGGCTTCTACTGTACTGCTTTAAAATGGCTTCTACTGTACTGCTTTAAAATGGCTTCTACTGTACAGCACAATGGAGTTGCCATGGTAACAGCTTCACAGTACTCCACAAGGGGGCTCCCTCTGGTAAGGGGGAAAATCCAACATTAGAAATTACACTTGGTCCGGACATTTGTGAATATCTAATACAGGATTGGGATAAACAAATACCCAGGCAACACAGGGTTAACAGCTAGTTACATATAAAAAAGGTACAAGACCATAATCTAAAACATATGCTCATGATCAGTTCAAAATTTCCTCCATCAAAATCTTACATGATCAGTGACCATTATTTACTTCCGTTTTAGAAAATGAAATCCAAGTCAATATACAGAGCAGATATTATCTTTACAAGGCATAGAACGTTCATTGTAGCATTCAGAACCTATTTCAAACATTCTAAGAGTTACAAAGTGATTAGCCTCATTAAACCAATCCAAAAAATGATTTGTGAGACAAAGGAAGAAACTCAGTGTCAGTGTATATGCCCAGTACAAGTCAACCTGACACCACTTAATAACTGTTTCCTGCATTCCTTAAAATAAATAATCAGATGTGGGTATAGTTGGCGCCTCTAACAGTATGATTTCTTGGTATAAAGCAGAGTGAAAAAATCCCTATTCTCCAGCAACAAAAACATTGCCCAAAAATGCTTGCCTTAAACTAGGTCAGGGGTGTCAAACAAGATTTCATTGAGGGCCGCATCAGGGTTGTGTTTGACCTTGAGAGGCGTGAGGGGGGTGTGGTCAGTTTGATGTCACTCATGTGATCAAATGCCACTTTTGCTAGTAGTTTGTTTTGTGAGAACTCTGCGAAAACAGAGCCCAGGAGGGTAGCGTGCAGCCCTCATGAGCTCCATTTTCACTGGCAGAGGGCTGCAGGAGGCTGTCGCAGTCGAAAACGGAGTTCGGGAGGGCCACATATGGCCTTCATGAGTTCCATTTTTGCTGGCAGACTCACCGCAGGCTGGTCCTTCGCTGTTTCCAGGGGCCAGATCTAACCACCCCTTGGGCCGCATCTGGGCCGCGGGCCTTGAATTTGATACCTGTGAACTAGGTGATCAGTGCAGCCAGCTGACCTGTGATAAAAAAATCTCTGAAGGTGGCATTAGGACCAGTCATAAACTATTGTCTGCTAGCAAATGATTGACTAAATACCAATTGTTGACTACCTGCTGCTAAAGGCAACAGAAACAAATAAACTGATATAGGGTCCACTGGGAGATGAGAGAAAAAAGCTTATTGCTTTTATCTTTCTTCTAGCAACTCTTAAACCTGAGCTAGTCTTATGGAGTAAGTTCCTTTTCAAGTACTGTAATAGCATTTAAGCCCAGTTTAATTGTCTCTTTTTTGATCACCTGGCACTATGAATAATACGCTCCATGCTGAGGATCTGGAAATGTATATTAGTATCAAAGAAGAATGCACCCAAACATCATACATGTTTTTCTTCCTCCGCTGCTCCATCCTGCCTCAACAGTTGCCATCTGGAATAATTTTAGAATGGTGACGTAGGGTTCAGAGAATTTGAAGGAGGAATATGATAGGGATAGGTTGGCATTCGGTAAGGTGCCAGCCTAGGTAGCAGGAGACTGCGAATTCTAGGCCTCCCTTAGGCATGAAAGCCAGCCGGGTGACTTTGGACCAGTTATTCTCTCTCAGCCCAACCCATATTTGCTATAATAATAGTGGAAAAAGGAAATTGTGTGTTGTCCCGATTGTAATTGGAGCCNTCTTCAGGATCTGGCCTTCTAAAGAGCAGTCAGGGTAATTTTAAAAGGATACACAGTCATCAAAATATTGTCTTCCTCCAAACCGTACTTAAAGCTAGGTTCCTGTCACATTTTCTTGAAAATATGCCTCTGAATATAGAGCTTGCACTCCAGCTTTGCAGTATATAAGATATAATAAAAGTACAATAAAGGTTTGTTGTAGCCCAACAAAATTGGATTAATTAGGGGATTCATTAGCATTATAAAGTGGAAAAAGCTACATAGAGTAATATAAAGTAATGATGAAAAAATGATGGCTTAATTGTTGTCAAACATCCTACAGCCATCATAGTCTTTAGCCTGAATACAAAAAGGAAACATGGTTTGTTTCCTCAACAAGCAATTGAGTAGAATACAGACATAAAGAGCACCAAAGATTTAATAGGTTATATGTATTCTCTTCTATTCGTCTTAATTTAATTTGGCAGTTCGAGTCTCACCAGGCTCAAGGTTGACTCAGCGTTCTATCTTTCCGAGGTCGGTCAAATGGGGACCCAGACTGTTGGAGGCAATATGCTGACTTTGTAAACTGCTTAGAGAGTGCTGTAAGGCACTGTGAAGCAGTATATAAGTCTAAGGGCTATTGCTATTAATATATCTCAAAAGTCAAAAGAACCATCATAGTGAGCATTTAGTAACAATACAGGTACCAACAAGACGGAAACTAAGCAGGAAACATGAACAGTTCCTCATTCTCTTACTTCTGCATTTTTTTTTTACTCAGTTACTTTTGGTTTTATTTCTTTTGCATTTTCCAGAGTGGAGAGACTTATGAACTGTTGAAGTGTGCAATCTTTCCCACATGAGCGTAGATTCAGTTAACTAAAAGCACCAGGGGTTCTGTTTCTTCAGCATATTCACAAACTGCAAAGTAGTTTGTAGACTAAAGTAGACTGTTTAATCTGGCTAAGCATTCCTACACTGGTGCATTAGACACACAGTGCTAGATTTTAAATCTGTTCCAGTAGAATTCACCTTCCATCCCCTGGTTTAAGCTGTTACCTGTGGTTTTACTACAGGAATGGACAACTATTGTGCAGCCAAAGGCTACACTTAATTTAGAGAATACAGAATACAGAATTACAGAGTTGGAAGGTCTTCTAGTCCAACCCACTGCCTAGGCAGGAAACCCTGCACCTCTTCAGACAAATGGTTATCCAATCTCTTCTTAAAAACATCCAGTGTTGGAGCATTCACAGCTTCTGGATGCAAGTTGTTCCACTGATTAATTGTTCTATCAGGAAATTTCTCCTTAGTTATAGATTGCTTCTTT